ATCCCAGTCCTCTCACCAGCACTAAATTCACTTTTCAAATTAAGAATCCTATAAAAGCCCAGTTTGGAATGAACTTTACATTGCATCTCCTGTGTTCCGAGAGTGACACCAGGACATGCCTCTCTTTTTTCCCCCCTATTTGCAGCTCCAGAAGGAGGCCTTGGCAGAATATGAGGAGAAAGTGAAAACCCTTAGCATGGAGGTACAAGATTTGGCAAGCAACTGTGTGAAAGTCTGCTTCCCTCTGGAGGCTAATATCAAGAAGGAAGAAGCCCTGAACACAATCAGTGAAGGAAAACAAGGCTCTAAGGACCAACCAGAAGGAAAGATACCTGTAGCTGAGATATCAGGGCTTGAGACATCCATGGCTGAGACCTCCATAGCTCAGACCCAAAAAGTTGAGTTGTCTGACCAGTATCGGGAAAGCAGATTATGAGAGATGCTTCTCCTAATCCTTATTCTGCTTCTGGAAACTCATTTCAAACATTAATAGGGGCTATAGTAAAGTTATGACGTGAAATAAACTTAATCTACTGAGAAGACCATCCTTCCCAGCCAGGGAGTTGTATGGGTTGCTGAAGTTCACCAGAAACTTACTACTTAGTTCACTGTCTTTCAAAATGTGGAAGAGAAGAGATTTTAGGGAATCACCCGTAGATGGGAGGTTTGGTCTGTAGGAAACACTTTGTCTTCCTCTCCGGCTTAGTGTCACACCACCACGACCCCCCCCCTTCAGGGGGTCCCCTGGGAAGGCAGATCTGCACTGCATGTTGCTAACACTGTTGCAAGCATCGCAAAGCATTTTGGGGAGGGTCAAAGGTGTGAGTGTGGAGTGGAAGATTTCTTTGCAGGCTGCGAGAGGGACAGGGCCGTGGGGGTGTGACATTAGCAGCAGGTATTTCAGGAGCATTAGTGGCTTCGTGACTGGCAATTCTGACACAGCTAGCTTGTCTTCATTATCTCAGACTTCATCAAATTTATTCTGTTTATAGGAGGCGCTTCCACAGACTAGAAGCGAGTTGGAATGTCACTTTAAGGAACCTCATGCCATCAGTGCACCATTTTCCCTCTCTCAAACAGAATAGTGCTCGCTCCATGGATTTCTCCTATCGGCAGAGGAAAGAAGAATCTCAAAGAGCATTATGCTGGTGTTCACACACCATTTTAGATAAATTGCAGTGGAAAAAACCCCCTAGGAAATGGAAGGAGAGTACTCTACGATCAGTTTTCTAGATTTTTTTTTAAATGTCTTCTTTTTCCTAGTGACTATTTTTAACTTCTGCTGTATCTTTTGGAAGCTGGTGGTTCTACAGATAGGTTTTATGGGACCCATTTAGACTTGGGTTGACCCCTCATAGAATGTATAGATAGAAAATCTGTAAGGGCTCTCTAATACTCACCTGTAGAAATAATGCAGAGAAATGAGCCATTTCTCCCATTTGTTACTACAAAATAACCTAGAGAACTCCTGTCCAATTCTCTGTGGACATTCCATAAAGTTTTCTACAGAGCCGCATCAAGATTCTCTAATGAAGCTATGATAACTCCATATTTGAGGCCCTTTTGGAAGCAAACGGGCACAATTTTGAAAACTTTTAATTTATTTTAAGGGTAAATAAACAGAGTTTCATTAAATGTTCCTCATAATGTAAGGACACCTGTTCCATTGGCTGGCCTACCAAAAAGTACAGCAATTTGTTTCAAAACCTGCCTCAAAATGTTGTGCGCGAGCTAAAACCTCCTATTCACTATGCTTCTGTACCAATGTATTAGAACAAAAGCTCGGCAAACTCTCCTGCAGGCGGTGCAGTCTGAAGAAGTACAGTGTGGGAGGAATCAGGGAAGAGAAACTTTATCTCAGCTTGCGAGGGGCTCAAGGAGGTTTTTTATGCTGTTTGCCCTTTGCCACTCGTGCTGCCATGCACTGTGTGTAACAGTGCAGTCTGTAGCGTCTTCCCTATAGTAGCTACAGATTTCTAACTTCCTTAGTAATTATTTCTAGCTGTAATTGCAGTCTGAAGGGCATAATACACATGTTTAATTACACAGCTTAATTTTGAAGTATGTTAGTCCTGACCTTAAGACTTTCTGCATTTTTTGACTACAAATGGGAGTATGTGACCCTTAGATTGTCTGAGACCTGGTGTCCATTTGCTGCTGCTGCTCTCGGGTAATACCAGAGGTGAAAGTAAGCCGGTATGGTCCAGTACGGCATACCGGCAAGAGCCGGTACACCGTGCCGGACCAGACCAGCTTCTCCTGCGGGGAGCCTCGGGCCCTTTAAACCGCCGCCCGAGGCCCGCTGCTGGAGCTCCGGTGGCCTCTGGCCTTTTAAATCACCACCGGAGCCCTGCCGCCACTACCCCGCAGTGGCAGGAGCACCAGGCCCTTTAAATCCCCACCCGAGCCCTGCCACCCCGAGGTAGTGGCGGCAGGGCTCCCGCAGTGATTTAAAGGGCCCCGAGCTCCACGGCGGCCACAGCCCCAGGCCCTTTAATTCGCCCCTGAGCCCTGGGGCTCCCAGACGCCTCTGCAGCTGGTTGCTCTGGGGTGATTTAAAGGTCCTGGGGTTCACAGCCGGAGCCCCAGGGCCTTTAAATCTTGAAAGGCCCCGCCTCTTCCTGTTGAGGCCACGCCCCCACTCAGGACTCTGGCGTACTGGTAAGTCCTTTAAGTTACTTTCACCCCTGGGTAACACACAGCTTTCTAGCGTAACGTGAACAAAACCAAACATCATGGGCCATATTCCCAGTTACTCATTTCTGCACGTGGGGCAGGAGGAGAGTGTGGGGGGGGATGTGTGGAAGGTGACCTTTGCATGCCTTGTATTCTACGACTGTTCAATGCCCTGCCTGGCCCCCAGTGTAAATTCGAGCAACCTCCTCAGCCTCTGGATGCTGGAAAGTAGAGAATAGCATAGTTCAGTGCACTCTGGTCATGCCCCCTACACTAGGGACTGGGACGGGGCTAGCAAATAACCCTAATGCCAGTTCTACAATGGCTGTTTCCAGGATTTCTGCACGCTTGCCCCCAATTCTTTTCCTGGTCCATACAGCAATGAATTGGGATTTATGAACGCTGCTGACTTGATACACGTTATCTTGTGAAAACAGTGCAGTTAATGCTATTGGAAGCAATAATCTTTACATTATTACATGATAACGTGTTAACGCCACTGCATTTATCTCTTGATAAGTCATTCAGCCCTGTGAGTCATTCATTTGGAAACAGCGAGACTTAATGAAAGAAAGTGGGACAAGCATACACTTTCACATACTGTTTCTGTAGGACTGCTACTTTTCCCCATGTTCTGTTTTTTTTTTATGACACCAAGTGCCGTCCCACAACAAAATTTCTACACTGTTGTAGAAATGTTCTCTCCGGGTCTGTATCTTGTTTGGAGAGGCAGGGAGCGACAGGCTTAGTTTTAGTGGTTCTACAAAAAATGGTGGTTATTATACTGGATACTACCGTGATGAATGCATTACAAAATGTAGATAGACATGAAATTAGCTCAGGTTTGATACTACAGAGAAGTTCTATATCTGGTTTAGGGGCTGGGTAAAGGAGATAATGTACCTCCTCTGTAGCATTGCATTTGCATGAGATATGCATTGATTTTATTAAATAACAGGCGTGAGATTGTGTATAGTAAATTTGTGACATATTTATTTTCTGGAAATAAAACATTTCTATAAAATTTCTGACACACTTTTTTCTTGAGTGGGAGGCAAGCTAGTGGGAATGGAATAGACTACAGTACAGGTGTGTGACAACAGGAACATTAAGCTTCCTTTGTTCTCAGTTATATATGTTCACAGCTCTGTCACTTTCCATGTTGCTGGCTGAGATGTTAACCCCACTGTGCATTTCTTAAATAAAGCTTTAGTTAAGTGGAAGGATATTCTTAATGTAGTATGTGTCTCATGCATGTACTCCTTCCCAGATAGCAGTAGTCCAATGACTTCCATATTCTATTGATAACTCTGTTTACATCAAAGCAATTTATACCACTAGAATGTCATTCCTGACCCTTAAATCAAGGGTCCAGGGTTCTCCTCACCTACTCTTTTTCAGTGTGGTGCCTTCTTGCTTCCTTCTCATGAACCTGAGTTGCGAGAGAACTCCAACAAAGACACACAGTTCCATTTAATTTAAAAATGCAGTTCCAGCTGGAGAGGGCATCCCAGAACTTGGAGGCTTTTCATTATCTGGATCCGAATTCTGCCTCTTGGGTTCATCTCTAGTTATACCAAAAAAAGGGAGTCCCAAGAGACAGAAGGATTTTCTGTTGATATGCCTACAGAAATGAATGTGGCAGCAATATTAATCATGGGTGAATCTGGAAATGTGCTGCAGTTGGCCAATACCACAGCCTAACAAAACTCAACTCAGTTTACTTCGTCACAGTTCGTGTCAAACAGAAGTAGACTGAAGGAGTTAGAAAAAAAGTGGGTATAAATGATGCTGAAATCACTGCTGTTTCCCAGGTTCACGACCAGCTACTTGATGTATGTGTGTGCGTTATGTACATGTACAGCTACTGTCAGCTCAGCAGCAGCAAAAATCAAACCTTGTTTACAATCTTCATAGTCCCTTCCCTGGATCACAGCCAGGCCTGCTAAGAACCAGCACCTCATTCATCACCGAACCAGCTCCCATGCACATTCAGGAACTGCCCCTAACTGAAATCACCTAAAAATGTCGCTGCATCACTGGCCAAAATCATCTTTTTTTTAAACACTAAATTGTGCTAGACTGCAAATATGTCCATTGCATGGTCCAGTTCATGAACCGCAACAGGCCTCAAGCCAAAGTGGGCTGTGGAAGGCAAATTTTTTTGGTTTGCAGGCCCAAATATGTAGAAGAAATTTGTCTGGTCCATTAAAACAGGCCTTGTGCCATAGCCAAACATCTCAGCCAACAAATATAATTGCACCACCCTAAGATTTCACTGTATTGATACTGTGAATAAACAAATAAAATGAATTCTGACTTACTTTATTGGCTTGTAAACATGGCATAATTATTGATCCTCTTTGTTCTTTCTTGCATCAGCTTCTCTTGGCTAATGTAGCCTTAGTTTCAGAATGGAAGTGTTCTAACAGAATGACAATTAATAAACAGTTTAGTAAATCATGAGATAGGTTATCCATAAAACTTATGGGTATTAAAAAAATTATACTTATGTCACTTACAGAGACATGGCTACTTTTTAATCAGATATATTGACAAAGTGTGTAATGTGCACAAACTCCAAACCTTGCCACCTTTTTTCCAATAGTAATAGGTATTTGTTAGTAGCATCTCATTTATATGTATATATTTTAATTTATAATACTAATTGTTGCCTGCTCAACATGTAATTGTAAATTTGTCCTTGTTAAAAATGTTTTCAAATAAAAACAATCAGGCACCAGAATTGTCTGATTTTTAAGAAACTTTTAATTTATTAACCAAAGGAGTTTTGTCATTATAACTAGAACTTACATATTACTAACCAGCGTTGTCTGTTGTCTTAAATCAATGGTCCTGCATTGCACTGTTAGATATCAAAATATGGTCCGGTGGGGCATTCACAAAATCGTATTCAGCTATCCAAATGAACAAAGTTTCAAATACTTGTATACACATTAAAGTGCGCCCCCCTAAACTCATATACATACACTCTGGGGGTAACAAGAAGTTCTGACGGGCAAAGATAACAGAGGTCTATGCTGTGACCGTGTGTGTGAGAGAGGGGCCTCCTGTTCTCTCGAATGTAATAGCTGCACAGCTAAACACAGATATGTTGAAGCTAAATGTTCTGTGGCAGCTCTTACTATGCTAACCCCAATCTGTGTCTTCCTATACTTCATACACATACAAATACAATTCATAGCCAAACCTTGTATGGGAATACTAAAAACAGATTGCTTTTATATGCTGATTGGAGCACTCCAGAGAACGGAGCCAATAAACATTGACCTGGATGCAGATTAATGAGCAGTGGGAATCCGTCTCTGACTGCACTGTCATAGGGAGCTGTGCACCTGGGTCACAGCTATTCAGTAAGGGAGTTCCCAAAAGAAACGTTTTAGCTGATTCTTTATGTTGGAACATTGATTATCAACACTGTGCCAGTAAACTCAGTATTTTACTCCATTTTCTCTGCTTTACTCTAACGTTCTCTGCATCACTAGTTCACAGGAATAGCTGCTGGGAAAGACTGGAATTGGATTTCTCTGTTGCTGCCTTTTTCCCCCCATCCCTCCTGAATTACAAAGCACATCTGATGCCAGTGTAGGTATGTATCACATTTTATCATCCCTTCGTGCTTCATCATAGTGGCTTAGCAGACGCCTCCATCAGAGTGGACCTCCAGGCACTATTGCAATACAAGTAATAATACTAATAGTTCTACCTCTCCTGAGACCAGTGCTTTTCACAATCCATGTCTGATACCTCACGTTACTATAAATAAAGCAGTAACATCCTCATTGCTTTCCAGTCATATCAATTCCTTTGCTTTTCTGGAACGACTTCCCTCTCATCTGCTGGAATCTCACTCAACCACTGATGCATGAGGACCTAAGTCACACCTCAGTGGGGTGGAGCTAGAACCAGGAAGCAGTTTATTGTTTTCACTCAAAAATCAACTCAATCTGAGAGCATCAGTTGTTTTGAAATTAGGAACATGTTAATTAGTCCTCTGCCCTCTACACCTGGGGCTAGACCTGGAGATGGAGAATCACACCAATAAGCAATGGGACTGCCGCAAGAGAGAGGCCAGCTTTACTAAGGATGCCACAGTTTAGCAGTTTTACTTTAGAGCTCTCTCTCCTGTACCATTCATGAGATGGAAGAACAGAGGGTAATAAATCCACATCTGAAGACGCACACGAGTGAGAAGCCAGGACTGGAACACTGGCCATTCAGTTGCCAAAACACAGGTTCTACTCTGTGAGCGAAAGGAGAACTAATTCCTAAGCTAGCAGAAGCAACAGGTCACTTGTCCTCTGTACGGGCCAACGTCACTCACGTACTCAAGGAGCCAGAACAGTACAGGAGGGGCAGCAACTCTTCTTTTTTCTCTTCCAAGACAAAAGTGGATAAAACAAAACAGAACCATCTGCTGGTCCCTGAGAGACTTTCCATTCTCTTCACCATCAGTCCCAGGGAACTTTCTGACTATGCTGACAGGGTTCCCCAACCACACCTTATCGTTAGTACTGTTTCCACAATACTATTCATATGGAGCGCTGAAATTGGCTGCAAGATTTCTGAGGGTAAAGTTGCATGGTCCAAACATGTAGCCAATACCCTCCTCTGCTTTTCTTTTAGTTCCATTAGTCATCAGCTCCAAGTTGCTTATTAAGTCCTTGACAAGTTGATACAAGATTGGAGATGATCTTCTGCTGGGGTGGCAACACTAGGGAAAATGACAAATTTTCTTTGGTATTATTCCGCTCCTTGCCACAGCCTGTCTCGCTGAGATTTCTTGAAAGAGGAGCTATCTGCCTTTCCAAACAATCAAGGCTGAATGAGGAAATGACGGGTCAGTGATATATGAGAAAGTAATTTTAGGAGTTATGATTAATCTTATGGGATACAAACAGCACTTTTTAAAAGCAGAGGAAAAAAAAGAGCATGACTCATGTCACTGCATAAGTTTCTACTGTGCAGTTTCTGTCGTAAAATGAAGCAG